GTCCTTCAGTGACCATTCTTGAAACCGGGTGATACTTCAGTGACCGTTAGTGCAATTTTGGAACTTCAGTGACCATTTTGTTATTTTGACGTAACTTCAGTGACCATTTGTGAAATTAACCCGAACTTTAACTATGAAATTATATTTTTTAATAAAATGATATTACAGGAAACCAACAAATTTTCCTTCATTTTTAACAACACGTCTCGATCAATTTATTATTCCAAAATACATTCTACATAAAAAATGATGATCAAATGGATAAAACGACTAATCTCTTTTGAATTTGTTTTCACAAGATAAAGATGCATTACGTTTTCTGTTACATTGAAGCTTAAACCAAGGTACCCTATAGAGTCTGTTCCAAGACATCGAAGAAGCAATATAGCTCAGCATTTTCGAACTCTAGATTCGACAACTTTTGCATCGGGTCCAACAAATTTCCATTTGTGTGTCTCGACATTTCACAAACCGCTTTCAAAAGGATCAAATTTGAATAACATTCAGATCATAGGAGAAGTTTTCTGCACTGGAAAGACCGAGCCTTCCGATATCTGAATCATCATGGAGGAAAAGTATTATTTCCACAAAATTCAAGTAAGGCATACCAACGTATATTTATATAAAAGATGGTTCATAATAATTTTCTTGTTTACATTAGGAAAATAATCTTACACCTCAATCGTGTGAATTCATGTACAATCAACTAACAAGAGAAAGCAGGCCCGAGTTTTGAAAAACTGTGAACATACTTTACTAGAAAGGATCGTCACCCTTTCGATAACAAGATTGTTGTCGAATAATCTTCTTTTTAAACTTAACCTAGACAATTATATGTTTGTTTTAAGCGTGACATGGATAACTGTAACATGCCCAAAAAAAAAAAAAAAGGGCATTCAGACACCGTAATTTTAAAAGATAAAATTTATATATTTGCTCAACCATAACAAACATGATCAAGTAAAATCATAAAAGCCTTCATGCTTTCCTTATAGAAAACTAGAAGTTATTTTACAGGGAAAAGATAAATTTTAACAATTAATGCTTTGAATGTGAGGCAAAAACACTTTTAACAGTTGTTGATCTGGTTCTAGACAAGATGGCCCAATACATAAATAAAGCACAATGAAACGCAATTAACATCACAATCGGGTATAATCTTGAAGGTCAAAGTCTTACTCCTGCATCTTTCCTCTTCCTTGAAAAGTCTTTCTGTTTGATTGCAAGAATGAAATTGGGTGAAAAGAAAATGAATTTCAAGGAATTGAATTGTATAGAACTTGTTTTATTGAGAATTGTCAATTAATTGTGTTTGATTGATATAATTTTTCACCTGAAAAATATTGAAAATTTGGATTTTTTGGTGTTCGTTTGACTTTATTTTTCATGAAAATTGTCCATTAAATGGATATAATTTGTTACAATTGGGGATATAATTTGTTTCTATTGCCAAAAAAAAAAAAAAAAATGTT